GCCTCCTCCCGGAGCGGTGGTGTTGGGTGGATCTCGACATGGAGTCAGGCACAGGATTGTGTTCTTATTTGTAATGGTGCATGACTCATAGTCATCACTGGGGTTTGGTTCTTTGTGGGAAATTGAGAGACTTAGGGTACATCTTGACTTTACTCCATAACCTTCTCCCAGTTCTCCAGGTTTACTTTGGAGACACTGATGTGCTTTTAAAGGGAAGTGACCATCTTTCTGCTGTTCACATGAAAGACCAGCGATCTGCAGTTGCCTATGAAGCAACAGTCTGTCCGGTTAGCGATGAACAGGCGGAGTTTCTAAGCCTCTCCAGACCATGGAGGGCTGCACCCTCTCTACTGCCCTCTCCCCCTTATCCCACTTGCTCTGTTGTCCTCTCCCAGCCTCACCTTCTCTGGCAGGACTGCCTCGAGCTCCCCGCTCCCCGGTGAAGCTGGTGGTCAGCTGCCCCTGCTCCAGTCTGAAGGGAAGCTTGCTCTGACATGGCTGGGCTGCCCAGCTCTCAGCCTAGAAGCCAAGCCCCGGGGGAGGGGCCAGCCTGCAAGAGGTCTCCAGGAGCTTCCTGGAGAGCAGCTGGCCTGCAGTATTGTCTGAGGCAGATCTGTTCCTCTGCCAATGGCATGGCCACTGCTGTGTTTGCTTCTGGTGGCTCTGAAGGCCCTGGGACTTGTCCCGATGGCCTGTGAGATGCGCCTTCATCTCCCAGCGGAGGGCAGTGATCCCAGAGGAGTCTCCTCTCACTTTGAATGAGTCCTGGGGTTGCCTCAGATGCCTACATAAGGTGCCTAGAGTCTCCTTTCAAGGCCACGGCCGATGCCCAAGGCCGCTCACCTCCTATGGCTGGTCAGCGCAGCGGTCTGAAGGCCTTCCCTGTTGGGATCTCTCCAGAGCCTCACTTTCCCTTTCCCTCCTTAGCTCCACGAGGCTGACCCCCTAGGCCTTGCCCGGCATCTCTGGCCTCCCTCACTGGCCTGTAGTCTTGTTCTTGAATGGATTTCCTGCCTGCAAACCCCAGTGTCGATCTTCTGCCTGTGTGTTCAGCCTGAGACTCCCACATCCTGCCTTGCTGTCTTCACTGAATTAGTGTGAAGAATGAATTTTAATCATAAATGTTCTAATGTTCAACTCTTTTTGCATTTTTACCTAGTAATATAGAGTTGTTCTTTGAAGGAACTGCTGTGGATATTTGCTTACTGTTGTTATAAATACTCACAAGTGAGTCTCTGCTCAGGATGAATCCATGTGTTTACAGTGCTTGGCTACTGTAGACCATGATGGGCCATGTTCTCAGAGCCTCACTTCACAGGAAGTGTTCATCAAGATCTTTTTATAATAGACATGTTCCCAGCAAAAGCTTTGTTTTTCTAGTCATGACACAGTGACGAGAAAAGAGATAAAGTATAATATTTAAGTATACCAGGGCATTCTGGAGAACAAGTCATTGCCAGAAAAATGAGGTGAAAAATGTGGACAGAGACTGACTTGGTCTGGATCATCTGAAAGGTGAGGAGCTATGAAAGAAAGAAGAGAAGGGGAAAGAGAGAAGGAAGGAAAAGAAAGAGAGAAACAAACAAACAAAAAAACCCAAAGAAAGAAGGAAAGAAAGAAAGAGAAAGGAAGAATGAAAGAAAGGAAGAAAGAATGAAAGAAGAAAGAAAGAAAGAAAAAAGAAAGAGAGAAAGAAAGGAAGGAAGGAAGAGAGAGGGAAAGGAATAAAGGAGGGAAGGAAGGAATAAAAAAAAGAAAATGAAGGAAGACAGAACGAGGAAGGAAGGATGGAAGGAAAGAAAGAAAGAGAGAGAGAGAAAGAAGGAAAAAGAAAGAGAAAAATAGAAAACAAAACAGAAATTCACAGTTCAGGCCGCAGACCCATTGGTAGAGGCTGATTGATTTAATTGTAACAGTCATACAATGCTACCCCTCCCTTACCCGTTTCCACCACAACATCAAATGGTAGGTTGCAGCTGAAGGGACTAGAAGGCATATACTCTATTTAAGATGGAATGCTTCGAGGAGCCCAAAGTCAGCAGCGAGGTGACTAACATCTCTGTCAAGTGCTCTGACAGAAGGCTTTAACACAGTGAAAGTTGTGGGCAGATTAATATAAAATCTTCTAGCAACACCATTTGTCTCATTTCCTATTGCTTTCTGTGTGTGTGTGTGTGTGTGTGTGTGTGTGTGTGTGTGTGTGTGTGTGAGTCAGTGTAATATTGAAGGACTTGATTGAAGGCAAGCAGACTGTGAAGAGACAAAGCAACCATGAGAACCTGGCCCAGAGTGACATGGCTTGTAGAATTGTGAAATACAGCATGTATTTATACCTGCTTCAATATATTAAGCTCTGTGTGGAAAAAGCCCACAATACCCAAGAAAAGGTAGGCAGTGTCAGGAAAGAGACGGAAACCCTGGGAAAGAACCAAAGGAAATGTTAGGGAGTGAGAGCACTGTAACAGCAATAGGTCTTCAATGGATTTATCAGTAATTTAATTTGGAACAGTCAGATTATGGAAGTTAACATGTTTGTCCCTATCTTTCTTGACCCTTGAATGGGATAACTCTGGTCTCCAGAGGGCTCCAATTTTCCTGTTGTATTTCTTGATAATAAACCATGAGTGACCTTCTTATCCTTGGTTGTATCCTGCTACATTGTTTCCTAAGATTTGAATTTGAACTCAAGATTGTTTTCAGGGACTGGATTCAGGAAATTAGGAATAAAATAAGATTTATACCATCCTATGAGAACAGTGAATAAAGTAAATGGAATACTTTGTCGGGGTGTGTGGTTCACATCTTTAATCCTAGCTACTCAGGAGGCTGAGTAGGATCCAGGTTCAAAGCTAGCCTGGGCAGGAAAAGCCAGGAGACTACGCTATTTCCAATGAACCACTCCAGAAAACTAGAAATGGTGGTTTGGCTCAAAGTGATAGAGGGCTAGCCTCAAGAAAAACCACTCACAGGAGCACCCAGGCCCTGAGTTCGAGCCCTACCACTGACCAAAAATGGGGTGGGGGTGTAGAATCAGGGAAAGAATCAGTGAATTGGGGCTGAGGATGTGGCATGGTGGTAGAGTGCTTGCCTAGCATGCATGAAACACTGGGTTTGATTCCATAGTACCACATAAACAAAACAAGCCAAAAGTAGCACTGTGGCTCAAGTGGTAGAGTGCTAGTGTTAAGCAAAAGAAGCTCAGGGACAGTGCCTAGGCCCAGAGTTCAAGCTCCGGGACTGGCAAAAAAAACAAAAAAGAATTTGGGGTATATCAACAGAAACCTCTCAAACCAAATACAAAGATTAAAAAACAAAATCCCCCACAGAGAATACCCAAGAACTGAATCACAGGTTGAAAAAAGCAAAGCTTACTCATCATTGGAATGAATATAAGGAAGAACAAACACAAGAACAGCATTTGCAGAGGTCATGGTAGAGAAAACTCCAAAATTAGTGATGGGCACCAAAGGTCAGCGCAGGAAGCTCAGAGGACACCAGACAGGATCATTTCCAGGAAATCTACAAGAACCATCTCCTATTCTAACTGCCAAATCACAGACAAAGAGCAAACCTTGAGAGAAGCAAGAGAAAGTATTTCACAATGGAGGATGAGGATGAAAATGACAGGTTGCTCATCAGAAACGAAACCTGTAAGAAGACAAGGGATTGAAATAGCACTTTGTTGAACGGAAACTGCAGCACTGAATTTTACCTCCATTGGAGTTACCTGTCAAAAGTAAAAGGCAACCACCTCCCCCCACAGCCTCCCAGCTCCTCTGAAGAGCCATCTTTGCATTGTCCTTCGGTCTAGCTTGCCTCAGCCAGCTTGCCATCCAACACGGACTCTGGCAACTTTCTTCCCAGTCCTGGACTCTGCTATCACCAGGGTAGCCCACTGTGGCAGACCCAGCTGTGGACACCGGCTTTGAGTCCATCACCAAGGACTTGAAGGAGAAAAGGGAAGCTGTGGAGGAGGAAGAGAATGGAAAAGATGCCTGTGCTGATGGGAATGCTGATGAGGACAATGGGGAGACTGATAATAAGGAAGGGAAAGAAGAGAAGGAAAAGAGGAAGGAGGAGGAGGAGGAGGAGGAAGGAGATAAAGATGAGGAGGCTGAGGCAGCTACAGGCAAATAGGCAAATGAAGATGCTGAGGATGCAGATGTTGATTTCAAGAATCAGGAGACTGATGGGATAACTAGACAGCAGAAAAGAAAAGCCAACTGATAAAAGGCCTCCTGCGAGACCTCTTCACCCTCCACTTCCCCTCTCAGAATCTAAACCTGGTCACCTTGGTGTGGAGAGACCTACCCCTCCCACCGCAGTGACACCTCCAAGCCTTCCACCACCCCACCAAAACCACAACCAGAATTTGCAACAGGGGAGGAAAATACCAAAACTTCCAAGGCCCTGGTGTTTTTCTTAAAAGTACCTTAAAAAAGGAAAATTTGTATTTTTTAATTTACATTTTATATTTTTGTACATATTGTGAGAGGTCAGACATTTTTAATGCTCCCAGATGACTAAACCAGTCTTCAAGCACTCTGCCTACTTCTGACTATTTCTGGTATCACCATGTTTGTTATCGTCTCAAAGGAGAAAACAAATCTTATTTAAGAAATAACTAAATACAAGTAAAAATGCTGGATACCAATGGCTGATACCTGTAACCCTTGCTATTCAGGAGGCTGAGATCTGAGGATTAGGGTACAAAGCCAGCCTGGGCAGGAGAAGTCCATGAAATTCTTAACTCCAATAAACTACCAAAAGAGCTAGAAATATAGCTATGGCTCAAGTGGTAGATTTCTAGCTAGCCTTGAGCAAAAAGAAATTCAGGGACAGCACTCAAGCCCTCAGTTCCAGCCTCAGGATTGGCAGCAAATTAATTAATTAATTAATTAATAATAACCTTATTCCAGTAATGTTTTTGTGTATGTACTTAGCTGTAGTGTTAAGTATATAGTGGACTTGTAGGAGATAGTTAAAAAAACCAAAGATAAAAATGATTATTTTATTCCATTGTCACTTCAGTTGTTGGTTATTCTTTTTTTGGTCTCTTTGATATTTGTGTGAAACAATGTTGTCAATCAAGCCATAATTTTATTTTGCTAACTTGTCCTAACAAAACAAAAAGAGTAAAGGTTCTCTCTAACAAACAAAAGTAGGGGGAACATGTCTCCAACAATTTGGTTGTGTAAAAAATATTAAGAGAAGTTCAGCAGGAAAAGAAAACTGATAAGATTGCCATATTTACATTAAAAAAGAAAAATATTTGAATAGAAAGATATAAAAATCAAATTATTCTCTAGTACTACTTTACCTAAAAGAATTTGTACAAAGTCATGCTAGTATCAGTGTATTGCATGGTAAGTGTGTGGAGATGTGTGAAATAAATGATAGAAATATAACAAAGGACAAGGAAGAGGAATGAGCAATACCTTATTTTCATCTATCTATACCACCCGTGAAGCAGTATCCCATAATTAGTTTACAAAATGTCTATTGCCATCCCTAGGATCAC